ATCACCAACCAAGGTAACCCCACCCCCCCGATCTGATCACCTGAATGTCCTCCTAGAGCACCATTGTGTTCTTTTTAACCAAATATCTCTCAGAGGGGCGTGGGGAGGGGCTCCTTATTTTCATCTAAAGTAACAGACAGAGAATCAGCACTTTTGAAACAGGGCTGAAACAGAGGGGATTATGGGATGCTGCAATGATCTGTTTGGTGTTTGGAGCCAAACACTTCAGAGACATGTTTGTATATATCTGAGACCTATAATATATTGATGAAAAACAGTATCATAGGGGACCTTTAATGTTTGACTATACTTGTATCATATGTGTGTGATTAAGGTCCCTTTAGATAACATTGGAGATAAAATGATGGCAACCAAAGCAATCAGTCTGCTCGTACCTGACAGTGGGGCCCCCAGCAGTCCCGCGCCGCTCTCGATCAGCTGCAGCAGCCCGAGGGCCCCCATCATGCGCTCCACGCCCACAATCATAGGCACCACCGCGAACACCAGGGAGGTCAGCGCCCCGGAGCAGAAGCCGTAGAGCAGGCTGATCACCATCAGAGCGGCGTACGATCCGGACAAGGAGCTCACAGGCAGCAGCATGATGAAGACCCCCGCCAGGGTGGTCCACACACTCAGCAGGTGGATCAGCCGGAAGTGGCCCAGGTCTGAGAACCAGCCCGACGCTATGCGACCCAGAATGTCCGTAGCACCGGCGGCAGACATGACGAAAGCAGCCTGGTACTCCGAGAAGCCCACTTGGCGGCTGTGGGCCACCAGGTGGAAATACGGCACGAAGTAGCCCACGTTAAGGAGACTGATGGCCAACGTGTAGGTGATGTACGGCCGCTCGAACAGCAGCGGCAGCTCCAGGTAGGAGGAGGCCCTCTGCAGGAAGGAAGCACAGGATACTCCGCTCTCTGAAACCACCTGGGGGAGGGAAAGGAGGAAATGCTGAGATGGATTTTCGCTTAATAACATCACTTTCATCTTTCCTATTTCAATCCAAAATGCTATCGATTTCTGCTGGGAACAGTTGACTTAGTCAGGAAAGTACACTGTTTTAACGACAGTAAAATGAGAAAATCGTAAGAAATTGTCATCATGCTGAATTTTTGAGTTACGTCCGACATCATGTTTTGTGAGCTCACTGTACTGTTGACCTTTGTACATCGGATTTGTATTAATTCAAGTTCGACATTTGAGTTGTTGTCAGGAGTCTTGTCCCACCTTTGCAGGGGCTTTAGAGCGCCTCTGTGGGCCGATGAGAGCCCCACAGGGCACGATGTTGAGGCTGAGGCCCCCCAGGATCAGGAGGGCCCCCCGCCAGGTGTACAGCTCCACCAGCAGCTGGAAGAGCGGGTTGAAGGCGAAGGAGGAGAGGCCGATGCTGGAGAACGCCAGCCCCAACGCCAGGGTGCGCCGGCGGGTGAAGTTAGCCATGACTGTCGCCACCATGGGAGTGAAGACCAGCCCCCAGCCCAGACCTGCAGGAGAGGGGAGAGAGACCCTCAGTGAGAGGTCAGTTGTTCAACCTGAGATTACGTAAATGGTTAACTAGGTAAACAACCTAAGCATCTAACAGCAAAGACAGGATTAGAACAACACTAAACCAGTTATTGGTGTTGGAAGACTCTGTTACCTGAAATGACTCCCATGGTGAGGTAGAGGTGAACCAGACAAGTGGCCTGCGAGGCAAGAATGAGTCCGAGTGCAGCCAGGCAGCCCCCCGTCATCACCACCCACCGGGTGTCATATGCATTACACAGCGCTGCACCCAGAGGACCTGCAAAACACACATCAGCTCCATTAGTCAAAGCCATTTAGCATAAAGCCTGTCACAAACATGGATGTAATTCAAATATGAAGGCCATTTTAATTGTAAACCCATAGCTACTTTCATGTATATTCTGCTTCAGCTTGCTCCAGCACTTCTATACGATGTTTACACTGAGTGAAATATTAAGTCCTAACCCTAACTCCCACTGACACTTTTAAATATAGTTCACTAGGCTTGAATAATGTGAGCAAGAGTTTGTAATGAGTGACCCAATGGGGCTTATTTAAAGGGTTAATGATTTGCATCTCTTTTCACATAAAGCTTTCTTTAAATTGTTTGCTTCTCTTAAGTTCCACCTCATCCTGTGTTAGTATAGATTTAGAGAAAGTATACACAACCATGTGTGTAACTCATGTAAAGTGAAAAAAGTATTGGCATCAAAATATATTTAAGTACCAACAGTAAAAGTACTCATTAGGCAAAATGACCCATTCCTGAATTGTAAATATATAATTATTGTGATAGATTATAGATGTATTATCACAGCTGGTGAAGGTGGAACAATTGTATACCAATACTATATATCTTAGCCTATGTATAACATGTGAATGTTTATTTTTAAATTAGTTTGTTTAGAATTTGTATCAGCTAATAGTCTGAATCTAGAAAGTACCTTTTAAAAAAACTTTCAATTAAAGTCCCTCAAATTCTACTTAATCCTTAAGTACATGTAATTCACTATATTCCAGCATTTGCTTCATGTCAACAGAGTAATCAATTACAAACCATAAATGCCCAATTGAACTCATAATGACTCACTGAAGAACTGCTGAGCTGCCAGGCCGGTGGAAGAGATCCAGGAAATGGCCTGAGCGCTCTCATCAAAGTATTGAACAAACTCCACAAAGAATATCCCCAAGCTTCTCATCAGGCCGAACACGAGGCTGGTGCTGACGAACAGCGCGCCCACCAGCACCCAACCATAGCCCCCGTCAGGACCCTCGCCCTGGCTCTCTGCTTTGGGCCTCAGCTTGGCCATGTCTGTTGACAGGAAAAGGGCAGACAGGAAGAGAAGGGAAGCTCTGGAGATATCAGCCTCAGGAAATGCAAGTGTCACACGCCTCAGATCCTCTCTGTGGTTGTCAATAGACATAATGATTAACTTCCCACAGGCCAATAGAGTCGCTGGTTGTGTCATCTCTGACCTTCATTTGAGAACGAGATGTAGGTGAGAGGGGAAGTCTGAATGCTTAAGTGTGTATTGATCAGCTATGGGGAAACAGTTATGTCACCAGGGAAAGACAAGAAAGTCCAGTATTACATTAGATTACAAAAATAGTCTGCAGAAGTGACACAGAAAATTAAACGGGGTGTGATTAAATTCTTGAAGTGTGACTCACATAGCTTATTCCTGCATTAATTAGCAACATTAGCTTAATTCACAAGGGTAGTGATATCTATTAGCCACATATGGTCCACTACAAATCCACCCTTAAAGTGTTTATCAATGTCAGACACACTTTTGTTTCTCCATTCTAATCTGTGAGCATGCTGTATATGTAGATGCATCTATTTGAATAATTTCACTGTCAAAGATTATATAAATATTTTCCTTAGTAGTACTAGTTACAAATATAGTATGCTAAACCCAACATATATCCAATTCAGATTTGCTGAAAGGTGAGCAGTAGCAGTTTTCACCTCTGCTCCTGAATTTGGTTTCTGTTGTTAGTTGAATATAAGCCAAAGCAACAAGTAGCCCAACCCAGGCCATTCATAACCAAATGCCACTCACCTCTCTGCTGCAGGAATTACAGGAATGTGCACCCAGCACTCTCTCAAACACACATGCACTAAACCCCTTGTTCATTTGTGCAAATACAATGCCTTAAAATATGGTTTAATATTTGTTTAAGACTGCTTGTGTATCTCTATCGAAATGGCTGTATTATTTCAAACCTACCTGCTGAATTAAAGGGTGTGATAGTTAGTTCCAGTACAATAAACACTGATAACCAGTATAACCAATTATAAACGTGTATTGATGCATGATACTACAATTTGGACATCAGGGTTTAAGTACATAGTATACATTTACACACAAAATAGTACTGACTTTCCTCCAAGCATCTTCATTCATGATCAAGAACCCAGCCATAGACAGGTACACAGGCGGGAACGCGCAGTAGAAACAGTGCATGTGGCTTCTCCGATAATTAAGGCACGTAAATGACGTAGGCTTCAGCGCCTGCGCAGTGGTGCTCGCACACAGCTGTATTATACCTTAAAAACACAATGTTCACCAGTATATTACCGTATTTCTGATGTTATAGCGTCAATTTATAGAGTAGCTTATCTTAAAATGGCTTTGCACCTGTCGCTTGCATGGTCTTTGGATATTTAAAGTGAGGTCCGTCCTGATAACGTTTACTGTTAAATTAACCGTCTCATAACCCGTGACTGATTGAAACCGTTCATGTTAACGTCTATGTATTACTATTTAACTCATTTATAAAGGTTTACAGGCTTTATACAAGCTGTATTACTCACCCTCGGTCTGTCAGCTCAGCTATCTCTGGAGCATTACATTGTCCACAGTGTCCAACTTCACTGTGAGAAACGGCACAATAGTGACAGCGAGACTCCACGAGCTGCAGGGGAAAAGTTCAAGTCACTAGACTTCGAGAATACCATGGTGTGCGTGCATAGTCTTCACGGGGTCGCGCTCGAGAATTCTAGTTTTTAATACAGGATGATAACGCCCAAAAATGTGTGCAGTGCATAGCTTTGTTAATTATGCCTTCCATTAAGAACAACCTTGTTAGTCATATTTGGGTTGAGGCCATTAAGGACTTCGATATGTCAACAAGTGTTAGTGTTCATTGATTTTTAGAGAAATAATTATGTTAAGTTAAACAAAATAAACACAAAACACCGACGGAATGAAGATTACACTTATTGTATTATTGACATTATACAATTAATATTGTCCAGTCAACAAATGTAGACTTAACTGCTATAAATTCTAAAAATAATCTATCCACTGTATTAACATGCTTGGGGATTTCTTACAAGCTGCTCCTAAATGTCTATATTTATTCATTTCCCTCTATTCAAGTTCCTCCAGCATGCTTTGGATAACTTCGTTTCAATCATGTTTTAGACAAAAGACAACTTTAAAACTGTCCTTTTTGTTGGACAATTCGCATGTTGAGTACAGTCTTTGTGTCTCTGAGATGAGGAGACAGGCTGTCCCCCTTTATTAAGAAACTAAGTCTACAGAAACGAACTCAAATATTGCTGTGTATGTGTCTGCTGCTAATGTTTATTTTATTATTCCATCACCACAAAACCTCTGTTGACTCAGCTTTTGAAATGTTTGACGCAGATTGCGTGAATTCTGCAGTACACAGGCACAGAGATGGATAACAAAGCAAAGCTGAAAATGAGCACTTAATACTGTATCTCCTTGGGGCCTTTTGTCGCTGATTTGAAAGAAGCATATGACTAGATTGAATAAAGGGTCCTCCTTGTATTTTAAAAAGCAGAGTGCACTGCTTGAGGCAATAGCACATTAACCACGAAAAGTTGCAGCATTAACGGAAGTTAGAACAACCAGTGAAAGTCAACTGTAAATGTGTCTATGGGTTTCCACCCATATATTATTATGTATAATAATAATTATATATGTTATATATACAGTCTATCGTTTCCACATGTCTGACACTAGAGGGAGGCAACCACTGGGTTTACTAAGTCTGTCATCTATAGAAACTGTTGTATCTCTTTCCATTGTCCCAGAGGTAAATACTGTAACTTTGAATTACATTCATCTGACAGTTGAAAAGAAGGCTATAGGTTTTACAACCCGTCAGCAGAAGAAGCAATTAAAACTGACTTTATCTATTTAGCAGCTGATAACACTTCAACTGCACTTGGCTTTATTGAATCTATGACAGTAAAACAATTACATGTTCAATTATAATGTGAAATATTGACGTGTGTGAAAGTGTTTGTGGAAATAGTCATTTTATTAGTGTACAGTAAAAACACCACTGTTCTGCCATGAAGTCTATTTTTGTGATGCCTATAATGTGCTTTGATTTTTCTCACTTTGATAGAAGTGCCAAATAATGATGTGCTTTAGCATTGAGGTCACAGTATCCTTCTCCTTATCATGTAGGCCTTAAATGGGAACAAATTGAAATATGCCATTGATCATCAATTATAAGGGACCATACTTGAAAGGAGACAGAATCTAGCTCTAATTCCTTTTATTTTTTTCAATTGATAGTATTCTAAGATGGTGCTTATTCCTCAATGAATTCAATAACATTGCAACAAATCTGTGTCAGAGTATTATTCCAGTAGCACTGATACGTTTATGAGTCCAGCAAACACTGTATAATGTAGCTGTCCTATGTTACCTGCTACTACACTGATCGATGCATAGATTTGATCAATACGCATCAGCTATTTCAAATAATATTGGCACAACATAATTAATGCTTAGTAAGCAATCTATGAAATAAACTCCACACCACTTCCTGAAAGATGTTCCAGAGAAGTCATTCTGATTCTTCCTTTAGTGAACTGAAGGGAGACCCCCCTGATAGGGTGTCATTGAGGACAAATTGATGAGGGGGAAAGACTATGTCACAGGTTTATTTTTTCTCACTTTAGGAGGTTGGAAAGTCCCTTCAGACTTCCAACCGTTTGTCTGCTGAGCTCGGACAATAAGCCCAGCTAGCCACAACTCATCAGGCAGCAGGAAGCGGGGATGACAGAGGGTGGGAGAGTTCAGCAGGAGTCTGCAGGCCCCTCCACACTCACCCACCCTCACCTTCAGGAAGCAGCAGCATCTCACACACACACACACACACACACACACACACACACACACACACACGCGCGTTGGCGGTTGTTAGTGTGAGTACCCATTATTGGGAGGAAACAGGTGCCCTCGGCTTCATTGTTTCCACAAAAGCAAACGAAAGAAAACAAAATCTGGAAAATGGCGGGACGGCTTTGAGTGAAACAGAAGACGTGATTCATGGGTAGAAAAAGTGTGTTAATGAGAGGAAGGAAGTCCAGGGAGGAGAAAGGGTGAAGGAGGGAAGTGTGGCAGAGAGAGCAGGGTGTACACTGCGAGAAGACAGAAGCATACAGTATATATGGTGGACACTTCATATGAGAAATATTTTTAAATTTGGGATAAACTGTGTTTCCATTGGTTTATAAATCATACATTATATCACTTATGAGTGCAATATTAAATAAAACACTTAACACCAAAGCTCCAATTCATATCAAATGATTTAATTTAGATTGTACAACACCATCTTTGTCCAGCAGATGAACTCACACACAAACAGGTCATAATATTATTACTTATCTAATTGCCTACAGTCCTCTCATTATGTAAAAAACAATATCATTTCATTTTTTACAGCTTACACCCAGTATAAGACGACTAAGTCCTTTGCCTGCTCGGACCATAAAGCAGATATCACTGCATGCAGGCCCCAGGCCTCAAGGTTAAGATAAATACATGTAATAGAACATTTCCAGGCTTAAAACTATTTTCTAGAATTTAATTTACTACAAATATTCAAAAATTCACCATCTCTTTCTTCAAAAACTTGCATTTCTTTCCATCTTTAGTTCAAACCGTTCACAATTTCATTCTTCCTGAACATTCAGTATACAAACATCCCACAATACCTAGTTTCCACGTCTCTAACCCCTCTTTCTTTCCCTTCACAAACCTTCAAATTCACTTTTCTTGACACCATCTCCATCTCAGAAAAGCCATCAGGATTTCTAACAAACCCTAATGAATCTTACTGGTAATTTTCTCCAAGTTCCAAAATCATCCAACTACATGCTGATGCTCAAAGTTATCTGCAAATGTCTCTTTTCCCAAATAGAATATTTTTTCCATGATTCAAAGCTGGTCATCTAACCATTCTGCCAACACGAATAAATAACCACCTCATCTTCAAAAAACTGGTGTTGATAATTTAGAATTTAAAGTTCATTCGTTCACCAATGTTCCCCTTGTGCATATGCTGGACCTGCACTGTATAATTTAAAGTTGGCATTGTTCAGCAGGCCTGCAGGATGGGCTGGAAGGCCTCCGTCAGGACCTTGTAGCGGATCTTGGTGTTGGTGACGGCCCCGTGTTTCTGCCGAAGGTGAAGACGCAGCTGACTCTTGTGGCGGAAGTGTAGGTCACACTTCTCACACTGAAAAAACAACGAGACAACAGATTTACCACCAGTGGCATGACACGGTATTCTTTCTATGAAGCATTAGTGTTTGTGTGTGACTCACAGTGTAGGGCTTCTCTCCGGTGTGGATGCGCAGATGGCTCTTCAGGGTCTGCAGGTGGCGGAAGCGGGTCCCGCAGGTGTGGCAGGGGTACGGTTTCTCCCCCGTATGGATCAGAACATGGGCCCTCAGATGGGCAACCTAAAACCAGGACAAATCACATAACCAGGTTAGACATTCATATTTACAAAATAGCTCTAACCATCTGCATCATAGATTGACGCCATGGTTATCATGAAAAAGTCCCATGCTTGTGCACATACGTTTAGTTACCTGGAGTTACATTTTACTTCAGATTTGACTTATTTAGAACTCTTGAGAGGCTGCAATACAGGTATATTCAGATGAACCATACAGTGTATGAAAAATAAGCTTTTTTTTTTTTTAAATTGAGGCATGAAAACATGTTCTTAGAGAAACCCTAAATACTAGACCTACAGTAAATACAAATATGTTAATAGGTGGTGACATGTTTTCCCCTACGACATAGTTCACAATTTAGATTCAGGTGTGAAGCACTCAAGAATTGTCTTTACTTTTTGGTCAGATTTAACAACTACATGCATCTCACTTTGGTTATTTTTAGTTTCCTTACAATCTTACTTTCAACCAAAATCATGAATGACGAATCTAAAAAGCCTACTTTCAGGAGCAGGTGCCACAAACATCAGACTGGGTTTGAAGCTAACTCAATCTGACATTCATTATGCTTTACAGGAACCTACAGGACTTTTTTTTACGAGAGAAAGAGGAAGCATTCTCTCACACCTGTTTTATGTTAGAGTGCACTTCCTCTCCCCTCAAGCGCTCATGCACACACACAGATTTAACCCTTACCTGAACAAATCGTGCGCCGCAGGTGTCGCAGCGGTACGGCTTTTCTCCTGAGTGGATGCGAGCGTGAGTCTTCAGGTTGGCAGGTCGGTTGAACTGGGCGCTGCACACATTACAGCGGTACGGTTTCTCACCTGCAGGGGTCAAAGGTCAGCGTTATTGGTTTTAAAGAAAAGAAAGAGAACAGAAAATATATTTTTCTTTTTAAAGCCTCACCTGAGCTGACAGTCTTGGTTACTTGAATGTTGCCAGAATAACAGTAGGGCACATAGTAGTTCTCACGCTTGATCGCATGTTGAGCAGCTTCTGGATCAGTGGGCAACAGGTTTGGGAATATGGTGCAGGGTGGGACTGAGGAAACAGACCAAAAAACATACATTAGCATGTTTGAAAAAAGGGAAATATTTAGCAGAAAGGCCAGAAAGTGTTTTGGATTACCTGATCGATCCTTGTAAGTGGGAGGTATTGTTGGGTGGTCCACAGAGGGGGGTGGCCCGAGGGGAGGGGCTCGGCCAGAACCCTCGTAGCAGGAGGCCTGCCCCTGTCTGATGAAGAAAGGTCATAATTACCAAAAATATTAAAAAAACACGTATATTTCTCCTCTCTCCTTCCATATTTCTCATCCTTCCATTACCTATCAATCTGACCAGGCACTTCTCCAGACCACTCCTCTGTTGCTTTGGGGGTCGAGCCCATCCTGTCGGGTGATGTGCGACTTTGCGGCTCTTCCATCTCCTCTTCTTTCACCGTGGTGGTCGCACAGAGAGGATTAAGGACGATGTACTTGTATTTTTTCCAATTGCAAGCTTTTGGATCCGGTGAGGCTTTGACATCACTCTGGAGAAATAAAGAACACACAGTCAATTAACCTCAGTTCTTATCAAAATCAAACGAGGATTTTTGTAACTTCTTTGAACTCACCACAAGGTTTTTGCTGCAGGTGTTGGATTCTGCAGGAGAGTTTGGTTGGCAGCTAGAGCGGGCAGGGCTATCTGGAGATGGAGTCGGGCTGCCCATGAGGGGCGACTCAGGCTCTCCTTTCATCTCCTTTGACCCGGGCTGATAGGTTGGGAAAGCCCCCGGCTTGAGAGAGCCCCCAACATCCGCAGGGACCCTGCAGGAGAAACAAAGGAAGTGCTGCAATGAGATACACATGTCAACAGACAAAGGCACACAGCAGAAGCACTTTGGACAATCTCTAAACACACAAACCCAATGCAAAGTCCCACCCACAGAGCACTTCTGCGACATTCAGCTCACTCAATCATTTTCTATAACACCCATCATCCTCCTACCTTGTTGGCAGTAATCTCTGGGGTCCAGGATTGGGCAGGTCCCCTCCGTTGGGGGCTACAGAGGCTACAGACACCCTGGAGTCCAGCTCCAGTTGAGGGTGTCTTGCACTCATATTCTCCCTGCTGGAAAACAAAGACCTTGTAAACCACTCAAGTAGAAAACATAAAAGATTGCACATTGATACTTTTGAATTCAGTCCCTCACCAGTGCATCTGCATGAAATCCCGGCAGGTATCAGTCACGTGGTCCATCTGCAGGTAGGCTGCGACAGTGAGCACCCCAGGGACAGTGCTGGGAGTCAGAGGGAGGCGGGAGGTGTACATGAAGTCCAGCAGCAGGGAGACGCTGGATGGGTCCAAGGCGCTGGGGAGGCACACGGTCATGAGCTGCTCCCCGCTGCCACCACGCCCCTGAAGCAACACACGGCGGGAGTACAGGGAGTAGAAGAACCCACTGAGGAAGGAGAATGAAAGACAGTGTTATATTAGGGGTAAGATATGCATTTATCTGAGTTTCATTTGAAGAATCCCATTGTTTTAAATGGTGGTGACGAGATGGGAAGAAGAGGACAATCGATGTGGAAAGCAGGACAAAGTGAAAGGAAGATGATAAGAAGAATACTAATAACAGCTCTGAGTCAACCAGAGGATGGCAGGAAAAAATAAGTGTGTCATAACAGAATAACATTTCCTTTAAAAGAGCCCCAATCAGAGAAAACCTCCCCATTGGGACTATTTTGTGTAGATGCTTGTCCTTTGCACCAACCTGCAGGCCACGAGCACAGCACAGTGCGCCCGTAGGTGCACGTCGCCCACGACCAGGGTGGTGTCGGTCAGGATGTTGCGGTGCCGGAGTTCGTTCAGGTTCAGCAGCACGTCGTTGGAGTGGCGAGTGAACTCCTTAACGTATCCCTCCGCCGGGGCTGCAGGCCTCGTCTCCTGCACTCTGTCCACTCTGTGTCCTTCCAGCACTTCCATCATCTGTGGAGAAGACATTGTGAATGAAGCAACCATCCAATGCACATTATTTGAATCCACAATGTATTAACGAAAATGTTGACTATTCACAATAATGACCTACCTTTGTGTAATTGATAGAATAAATAAGCTGGAGTGTCCCAGACACATCTAGGTGAGACCAGCTCCCTACTCGTACCTGGATAAGGACAACATAAGAAACATATACTCTTTAATATGAATACTTTAATATTCACATAAGTCAAGGGTATGTAAAAGTCAGCAAAGTTGTGATAAATAAGAACTTATCAAGAATTAAAATATTGTAAAAAAAATCCAAATTCAATGCATTTCTAAGTCCTACATTGACCTTGAAGTTAGTGAAAACAATTTAAATCATATTAGTGTAGTCATCTGACAAACTTAAATGTTGAATTATAAGGATAAATCAATAAAAGGACCACATCATTAGCATCTGTACTTAAAACAAACAAATCAAACAAAAATAAAAACATTAATATGTTCATAAAATCTTTTTCCAACTCACCCCGACCAGCAGGGACGAGAACCTCTGTGCACCGCGCTGACGTCAAACCCCCGGCCTCAGTGTTCACTTTACACCCAAAGAAGAGGAGCAGGGGTTCACCCGCCGTCTCCACTGGCTCTGAACAGCACTGTGAGGGGAGGCTGAAGGGAGGGGACTCTTTATAACGTTGTGCAGGAAGCCCCCGTACAACCAGGGCCGCTCGTTTCCTCTTTCCTCAATGGCCCACGCGTACACTGGAAGTAGCGCAGGAAAAGCTCTGGCCCAAGCTCTAAGTATTTTTAGTGGCCTATTAGTTTTTCTAAACCCCCATCGCTCCGAGCGAAGTAATGGCAGGAAAGGATAGTGTGTTTTTGTGCCACGTTGAAAAAATATATATGAGGACCCTTGGGGAGAAGCGCTACGTGCCTTGGTGATCCAGAGGTAGGCCATTGGTCTTCCCCCACCAACGCTTTCCTCCCCTTCACCCCTCTCCAGGACAGAGGAAGCAGGAAGCTGGAAAACCAACTTATTGTTGGGTAAACAAGCTCATCATTAAGATTCCATCATATCAAGGGAGTTGTTTAAAGGATTCAGCCAGGATTCACATGTTGGTGCATTTCTAGAACGAAAGAGAAACTGCACTGAAAAACCTAAACGTTGACTTTAATTAAATGTATTATGTCAACACATTTCACATAACTGTATTATGTTAGTTGAAAGCAATAATATTAAGTTGAACCTACTATTTATTCAACAAGCCCCTTATTGCTTTCACCTAACCCAATACTATTAAGTGAAATCTGTAGACATGATACATTTAATCAAAGTACATGTTTCAGTGTGATTCATTGCTGAGTTGACAAGTTAAGGGCATTAGTAAGTGCTCCACAACAGAAGCTGCTGGCGTCTTGCCTGAGAGCAGAGGCGTTGAGTTATAAGAAACGAAAGGAAGGAAGCAGGACCAAATTGATCGTTCTAGATGGGAGACACCTTCTCTTGGTGGTGAAAAACAACCTCTATACCCCACCCAACTGAGAGAGATGCAGCCGACAGATGTGCAGGAACTACCCCACACTTCTGTTTGCATCCTGCAAAGCTGTTCAGAGACATGGATGAAAACGCCTGCGCAGGACATCCGTCAATAATAAAGTGAGCAGGAGACAGGGGAGGGGGAATGGAGGGTAATGAAGTACAAGAGCACAGGGGTCGTGAAAAACAAGTGAAGTCACCTCATACTCACATTGGGTTCACAGAGAAACAGGCAGTTAATTGAGGCGTCGCAAATAAAGTGAACTATGAACTGGATTTCCTTCACATCAAAGTATTCTACAGAAGGACACGTTGAAGAAGGAGGAGAATATTCTTGGTTGAACCAGATAAGTGCTTCCTGCACAAAAAGTGAAGACTGGGAGGCAACAAATGGACAGAGAGGAAATTATGTTTTATTTTCATTGATAAAATGGAGTCCTGAAGCCAATTTAGCTGTACCCCCAAAGAGAAATGAAATGAGTTTCAACTTGTGGTGTTTCTTTATATAATGTGTACGCATGAAGCCTATCAATGAGTAGTTCATAGGGACAAAGTTAAGTGTGCATGAAACAAGTTTAATTCTTCTTAAATAAATTCTTAAAATGTAAATGATATATTATAGATATGTTTTATGAGAAGCAAATGTGTCAAAAGTGAAATAAAAATCCGACAACATGACCATGTTTGGATATAAATCCGGGAGTGAAGTGTTGTTCATCTTGTGCGCGTGTCCTTGTGCTTTTATTTGTTTGTATGGAGGTCCGATCAATTGTGTGCTTTGAAAAAAAAGGAGGAGAAAAAAAAAACATGAAGGAAAACAACGATTAAGAAAAACAGAGAGGGAGATGTAGGTCTCGGCTACTTCCAGGCATTGTGAGAGGAACGGATGAGGGGGGCGGTTGAGGAAAAGTGAGAACATTACTAAACAGGTTCACCAATAGGCGGAAGCCATTGAGTCCATCCCGTTGGCAAGGCTTGGCAACACTCAAAGTGACTTCCTGCATGATACCCCATCTGTCAGTGTCCATCAACAACCCACCCTGTTTTTCATCAAATGCAGAGCTGCTATAACTTACCGTCAAATTAAAAGACCTTCTGCAATTTCCAAATGAGGAAAAGCAACAGTTTCCCAGAGCAAATTCAACATTTCAACATCTATTTAACTCCTCGTCGAACAGAACAAAGGCAGGGATTCCCCTTCTTTTGTGGTTGCCTGGTTGCCTGGACAGAACCATATTGTTTTTCTCTGATAATGTATGGGCCGAAGACATGCTTTGACTTCCAATCCCCCACTTGGTGCCAAAGATGTGGATGGCTCCTTCAACAATAACAGATCTGCTTAAACTGCCTCTTCCTGTAATTGCAGAGCTTCGTGGACATATAAGGGCAAACAAGAGCGACTGGAGGGAGGAGCATGAGGAGGAAGCGGGGATATCCCAGGGAGCAGCCGGGGTTGTTTGTCCACTTATTGGCACAGATAGACAGAGACATCAAATATAAATAATGGAGTTATGAAACTGTTGCTTTGAAGAAGCGCCCTAGGGAATGCAGGGCCTCCAATATGGTGCTGGGTGGAGTGGGAGGAAGAAGAAGAAGATGAAGGCTGGGGGGTAACAGGAGGGGGACAGTTGACCCAAATCTCATGATCCACAAAATAATAAAGCAATTTGACCTCCATACTTACGGCTGCTTAAACAACAGAAAAAAACATACACATTAAGACCAATTTCTCTGACCTCGTTATCCGCCAGACACCAACATATAATATCAAAACATTAAACTTAGATCAAACTTTGACATTAGTATAAGCTAATTCTGAATACAAATATTAGCTGGTACAGATTACTTGATCAAAATGTGCTTAAGTGGCATTTATTTAACCAAAACGAGAAATGGATACAGTCCAGAGAAATGTGCATCTTACTATTTATGTATACGTTTGGTAGCCAATACTTGCCTATTGTGTATTTACTTACTATTACTATTTTTTTATTAAAATGTCATAATTTTTTTATTATTTTGTATAGAATTATACAAAAAACAAACACACTGGTTAATTTGTTTGTGACAGACCCCCCACCTTTCCACGTACACACACACACACACACACACACGCACGCACGCACACAGACAGACAGACAGAGAGCCGTTACGTCACGCATCGGGAATGCAGTGAGGAGCTGCTGCTGCTGCTGCTAAAGGCCTCAGGATCCGTCACAAAGTAGGTGAACGACGCTAAATCTAAAAGAAAGTTATGTCGCGATAACTTTCAGCGAGCTTTAAACCTTTCAAAAGAGGCGCAGATTGAGTTTGTGTCGCGCTTTTCTGGCGGTAGGTGTCTTGTATTTCATTGTTTCCTCTTCGGTTGTGTTGAAGTTAGCCTGGAGGTAAGGCACGAGTTAAAAACAGGCTAACAAACAAGTAAACAAGGCTGTTATTAAAGTTAATTATTGCACATTATCCTATATTATTGCTATATTACTTTAGTGGTATGTTTCTGATATATGTGACGCACAAAGGACAGATTTGGTGGAAAAACTGAGCAGTGAGTCTTTATTAATTTGTATGAGACGATAATGTTGCTGTGCGGAACTAACGCTACTATGTAAATACAACAAACTATCGCAAATGTGTTTTTAACGCGAGATCTTTTGTTCTATTTTACCTTTTTAACCAGTTTCGTTGTTCTTGTTCTGTAGATGAGACTGAAGGGAAGAGGAGAGTCACTGTAAAGGTACTGTAAAAGGTAGGAAATGCCAGCAGTTTGCTAATAGTCATTAGATGAGGTTTTTATACCCACATTTACTAATTTCCTGTTGTTTCCCTGTTATTTGTGTCCATTTGAAATAGCTATTATCGCTAAATGTAGCTACAATGTGTCAAGCTAACCAGAACCTTCAAAATAAAAACGTGAATATGGTTTCAGAATAAAAAAACAGTGAGTATAACTGTGAATATATGTAATTAGGGATTTTATGAAGCCAGTTTGTATTTTCTACCACTTATTTGTACTATACTGACTTTTTTTTTCTTAAGTGTTCCGTGTAGCTGACACGCTTACTGTAGACTTGTTTTATTTTGAAATGTAAAAACACCGGATGTTGTTGATGCTTATTCGCTCTTTCTTGACTCTTGTGACTGTCATCAACTTTGACATTTCGTGAGCGTTTACTACGCTTCCTTTGCAGATATTTAACAAACATTTCCAGCCGAACTTTGTGTTTTTAAATGACATTTAAAAAAAAAATACAATTGGCTTTACAGCAGACAGTAATAAAACCGCTTAGATTAATTTCCTGGCCCAGCCATCCTCGGATTTGAGTGTGTGCTCATCCGGACTCAGAAGCTTAAATCAGGTCAAAGAGGGAGGTGGTGGTCACTCTTTCCTCCACGTGGTCAATATCAGTCAAGTATGCTGATACAACAAGGTTAAATGTCACCTATAAAGACCCTACACATAAATACAAATGTATTAATAAGTCTAAAGCAAACCAAAAGGCTAAAAATGCACGTTAAAGTATTGCATTTCTGTATGTCTGCATCATCCTCATCTGTCATCATAATCCTCTTATCAACGGGGATTTATGACGGCCACACGACCCGTTTACAATCCGTCTGAGTGGGATGATAATTTCTCCTCTCGGACAATACCGATCTGTGTCGGTTCATCCTTATTCTCTCAATCCATGTAGGCATTGTGTCAATCACACAGCTTTCCAACATGTATGGAAAATGTATGGTTTATGAGTCATTTCATGGATAAATGTTAAGAGTGATGCCATATGTCCACCAGAGTTCACCAGCAATGTCTTAAAATGTCTTATGTAATCTAAATCCACAGTAGTATTACATTTAGAAAGATACAGAGAAAATGAGTGTAGGTTTTTGTATTTGTAGAGTGGTAAAGAGCAATATTTATTTGCTTATTTCCAGCAAATCAAATAGTTAAAAAAGATAAAGATTGCTTCCTTTCTTCAGGATCTTATTTCCCTTGTAATTCATGACACTTTCTATACATTTCTGTCACATAAATCAGTATTTCCTTAAAGACCTGTATCCTATTGAAAGGCCCTTAGGTGCAAGTCAGCACTTTGTGGGCTCAGCTGTGTTATTTATCCCACTGAGAATACATAATATATTGTTATGAGCCAGGTGTTGCCGTGTGTACAGACATTATACAACATTTCCTGCCCTGTTTTTGTGTCCGCTTCATTTGCAATGATACCAGTTTGTAAACAACACTCAAAGACAATAACCATTGTGGAGGAAAACAGGGAAGGGTCACCACAGATTTTGCACCTGTTTGTGTGTCTTGTGTGCTGGAGAACTTTTGCATGTTGTGCACACGTTTTAGAGCAATGTGCGAGTCTGCTGGAAACCCCCAAGCCTTTTTAGAACGACTCCTCTCTTCCTGCTCTTCAACTAGAGACCTATTGTTCTATGTGTGTGTCCCTGTTGCTATTGGAAACAAATCATCCCTTAGTTTCCATTGGTTACCTATGAAATAAATACACACACCATAAGCGATTATGTGTTGTTACTTAACTGATATGAGGCAAAGCAAAGACTGAAATTGCAAATTGAATGCATGTTAATTATAAGCATTTAATAGAGCGACGTGATGGCAATATTTTCTTCTTCTCTCTTTTTGATCTCATAAGCCTGCCATGTCCGGTCCAACCTGGCTTCCACCGAGAACTCTGGATAGCTCAGAGAGACCCGTCCCCCAAATGTCTCACTCTGCCGGGTCAGCGATCTACCGAGTCCCCAACAAGAAAGGGACGTCCGACTTCCGGCCGAAATATGGCCAGTACGACCAGAACGGAGGAGGTGGAGGTGGAAGTGGAGGTGGTGGAGGTGGTGGAGGAGGTGGAGGGGTGGCGGCTAATAGGTACATGGCTACTGGACCCACAGGTAAGAAGAATACCATTAGTCACGTAGTACAGTATAGTCTTTTTGTAACACCTATCAGAATTAATTGACTGCACATACATTTGCACAAAGCATTTTTCAAAATGCAAAACTATGATTGCTTCTGCACCATGGCTATCGTATCTAATCAAATACAATGCGTGTTGCTTATCTTATCTAAGCCGGATGTACACTTACGGTCCTTGTGACTGGTTGACCTCTATTTACTGGCACTGAATATGTGACTAACCTTCAAATTCCTGAACCAAAATAAAATCATTAAGTCTCTCCTACCTGGCCTTTTAGTGTACACCACAATAGCAAGGTCTTCACATCAGTTAAGCACACAGGTTTAGCTTCTTATAACATACACCAATCTCCTGATTGTACTGAGGAAATACCTGTGTTTTGGCTGTGTGTTTAATTAGCAAGAATTAACACATTATTCTTTGTTTCCCTCTCCCAAAGGTGGGCCCATTCAGCATCCGTCAAGCGAGCACTATTACGCTCCTCCCCAGGCTCCCAAAGAAGAGCGCAACTGGAGCCCCCACATGGACAGCTACGAGCTGATGGTGGGTTCATTATTCTTGACTGATAATAAAGAAACATTTTAGAGTGGTTTTACAATTGGACTTATAGCTTCAATCTCTAAACTGTAAACGCTGAAAAAAGAGCAAATGCACAGTGCTTATTTATGTACTGACATGTTGTGCTGCTCTGTTTTCAGCACCGCGGCCCTGAGAAGCCGGTGAGCTATCACTCCAAAATCGATGCTGACATTGACTCCCTCACCAGTATGCTCGCTGATCTGGACAGCAACCCACAGGACCCCAGCACACAAGTAGGACAATAACAAAATGGAAACGTTTTTGAGAAATCACACATGCATCAGGCCTAATATTTTAACTGAAACAGAAATACATATAAGAAGTAAACTGAAACCTACAGACTGATTTGTCCTAACCATGGTAAAGGACCTATACATATTCAATTAATAATAATAATAATAATATGAATTGTGTAGCAGAGTTTCCGTTAGGCTGTAGCTTAGCGGTAAAGCATCTGTCTTGTGAACAGTGTCTCTTTGTTACAGAAGATATCTCTTGATTTAAAGGTGGGGTAGGTAAGTTTGAGAAACCGGCTCGAGATACACTTTTTGTTATATTCCATGGAATGCTCTTAACATCCCGATAGCAATGAATATCTTAAGTGCTTTGACAAAAAATCCATAAAAAAATGTCATCTGTGGAAGCCGTAGTGCTGTAAAAAGCACGACTAGTTACTTTAGCTGGCCCGGCTAAAATAACTGGATGGCCTACCTGCCTGTCAGCCTTCCATCTGTGGACAAACTTATCTCGTGCCCTCATTGGTCATGTGCGCGTTCGTGTGTGTTGGAGGAGGGGCTCTGTAAGGAAGTGGCAGATTTCTTCCGGCTGTGTATTTTCAAATTCTAGCGCACTCGAGCTGGTTTCTCCAAAATGACCTACCCCACCTTTAAATTGGACTCAAGTTGATTTCCAAATTGTTCAACATTGTGGATACTCCTGCAAAGTTCACTGTCCATGTATTTTGAAGGTATGTAATCTAGCTACATTCCTCTGAGACTTTATACCTGGCCCTAACAAAAACAAGTAACGTATTGTAAGAATAAATGAATGAAAAAATTAATCTATCCAAAAAAATTAAACTAAACTAAAACTAGCAAAAAGTAACCAAAACTTAAAGGTAGGGTAGGTAAGAATGGAGAAACCAGCTCGAGTGCGCTAGAATTTGAAAGTACACAACCGAAAAAAATCTTACAGAGCCCCTCCTCCAACACACACACGAACGCACACACGACCAATGAGGGCACGAGATAATCTTGTGCACGAGATGGAAGGCTGACAGGCAGGTAGGCCATCCAGTTATCTGGCACGGGCCGAGGCAGATAATTGGTCTAGCTTTTTACAGCGCCACGGGTTCCACAGATGAAATATTTGTATATATTTATTGTCAAAGCATTTAATGTATTCATTGCTATCGGGATGTTAAGAGCATTCCATGGAATATAACAAAAAGTGTTTCTGAAGTGAATTACCTACCCCACCTTTAACGACAATTAAATTGAAAAGTAAGAACATTCAAAAACATTTGAATGAACATAAAGATTTGCCTTTTAATACATAAATCTGCCTGGATACTTACATTTCTACATCTCCTGCCCCCCCCCCACAGCTGTACGACAACGTGCCTTACAACAAGTACCTCCCTGCGGATCACTACAAGCCGGCTCACCAGAGCGCAGCCCCCCCTCAGGGCCGGCCCTCTATGGGCTACCCCCCTCATCCCCAGAACCAATACCACCCGGCCCCCCGCTACCCCAGCGAGCACCAGACCCCGCAGTACCCCCCCTCCCACCAGCAGGAGTACTACTCCCCCTNACGTGTCCCGCCCCCCCCCTCAGACTCAGACTCAGACCAGTCAGCAGGGCTGGTACCCGTCACAGGCCGCCTCTCAGGCTCAGGAGATGCACTCGGAGGCCGTGTACAAGGGGGGCGGCCCCGGAGGGAGGGGTCACCAGGTGCCTCTGTCCAAGAGAGGGATGGAGAACAGTCACCCAGGGTCAGGGGCCGCTCTGAACCCGGCTTATCAGTCCAGCAAGGTAAGGGAACACATACACATCTGAAGCCTGATTGAACTTATCGCACACACTCAAAGGACAGGATCAGAATGCCATTTTGGTGTTACATAAATGTGCTTTAGTGTATAATGAAGCATACATAGCACAGTTTAAGGAATAAGGTTAGTTAGGATTATTAGTTGTAAAAAGGGGGCAAATGTAGAACAAGTATAAAGAAAAAACTATTAAAAAAAATAAAAAAGGAAATTTACAAGAAATATAAATATATACAAAAATATAGTAAAGAAAAAATCAGGATCATTTGGATACAAAACTCAAACACCAAACATCTCAAATGATATATGTACGAACACAAGCAGTCATAAGAGAATCTAATATTTAAATTAAATCACAAAGTAATGAAGTAGTAGTTTAACAAAATAAATATAGTTAATACAATTTAATTATCTGAACAAACATTGAATGTACAGACCCAGTCCTAAATAATTGAATACTGAGTTGGTTATGAAAGGCGCATTTTTGTATTCTTTCTTCCAGCAGGGCATAGCAACGAGCCGGCCTGAGGACGAGTTGGAGCGACTCACTAAGAAGTTGGTATATGATATGAACCACCCCCCCGTCGAGGACTATTTTGGTACAGTCGCCACTCTCTACATTAATAACTGATGACGCTGCATTCTGGTATTTGGAATAAAAACAAACCCAGACATGTAACACTCTTCCAGGTCGCTGTGCGCGGTGCGGAGACAACGTGGTCGGTGACGGCAGCGGCTGCATCGCCATGGAGCAGGTGTTCCACGTGGAGTGTTTCACATGCATCACCTGCCACGCCCGTCTCCGGGGGCAACCCTTCTACGCCCTCGACAAGAAGAGTTACTGTGAGAGCTGTTACATTGTGAGTCAAGAGATATCCCGAGAAAAAAACAATACGAGAGAAAAGTCTGATATGTTTGAGGATAAAACTAAAATATCCTCTGAGATGAAAAAGTCAGAAATTTGCCAAATTATTATTAAAATGTTTTGTCATGGAATCCCATTATTTAACTTGCAAGGATTGATCAACCTCAACCTATTAGCAACTTTTTTGATTTGACAAATGTGGGACTTTTACCCTAAAAAAGCCAATTTCGCAAAAATGTACTCGCAACATTTCGCACATTTTTCTCGCTAAATTCTAAAAATACTTACATTTTCCTCGCAAATTTTGCAAATGTCTAAAATATTCCTTGCAAATTGCTGGGTTTTTTCTCTGTCGGTTTTCTCTTTTCAAATTGTCAGTTTCTTTCCCGGCAATTTAGCAATTTAATCTCAAAGGATAACCACATTTTTTTTTCAGAAATGGGCGAGTGTAATCTTTGAAATTCAGAATTTCTTCTTCTTACCTACAAATGCTCTTATAAGCTGTTTTATAACCCCTTCCTCACTCAATGGTTTTACGGATTCTTATATTTTTGGTTTAATGTAGTTTCTCCTGCAGTGCTGCTCTGTCCTTCCTACTCTAATCCACACTTGTTCTGCTCATCTCGTCAGAGTACATTAGAGCGCTGTTCAAAGTGCTCCAAGCCCATCCTGGACCGTATCCTGCGGGCCATGGGGAAGGCCTACCACCCTCGCTGTTTCACATGTGTGGTCTGTAACTGCTGTTTGGACGGGGTCCCCTTCACTGTGGACGCCACCTCTCAGATACACTGCATAGACGACTTTCATAGGTACGAAGGCATTCAAGCGCCATGATGTTACCCCTGGTCTTCTTTACTTGCTAAGGTGTAAGAAGGCAGACGTGTGCACTAACTGTAAATGTCGATGCTTTGGTGTCCCTGACAGGAAGTACGCTCCTCGCTGTTCGGTGTGTGGCGAGCCCATCATGCCCGAGCAGGGTCAGGAGGAGACGGTGAGGATCGTGGCTCTGGACCGAAGCTTCCACGTTAACTGTTACGTCTGTGAGGTGAGTCAGGACAGGATTATATAATATAATATATCAGAAACATCAGGACTTAAGTAAAAATAAGTTTTGGTTTAAGTACTTAAAAAGCTCCTTTTTGGTTTTAAGGAATTCCTGGTATCACATTTTATCATTAAAAGCAAAATGACATTGTCACAACTGACCTTTTGAACGTTATATAACTGAGATAGATGTACCCGGCTTAAATAAAAGGGAAACATATCCTTTTTAAATGATAATAATAATTTTTCTGAAGTAAAATATTTACATTTTCTTCATTTTAATTTAAATGACCGACTCAAAATGTGGAAGAATATATACAGCATTAATTTAGGTTACCTTCTGAGGTAAAATCAAGGGAACAACATTTTCTGATTTTTTTTTCAAAGTTAGGGCTCTAATCCATGCCTAATCTTAGATTCAAACACCGTATCTCTACAGGGGAATCCAATGTTCTGGAGAGTGGATTTGATATACTTTGATATTCAACATGAGTGTTTATGTGAGCTGACTGAAGTATCTTTCCATCAGGAGTGCGGTCTCCTGCTGTCCTCTGAGGGCGAGGGGCGGGGCTGTTACCCTCTGGACGGCCACATCCTGTGTAAGAGCTGCAGCGCCTGCCGCATCCAGGACCTCTCGGCCAAGATCTCCACCGACTGCTAACAGACCTGCTCCCACCTTTTCAGCACACGTTACACATGGATGGCGCAGACAGGAAACACGCTCAGACTCTTGAGGTTCTTTTTTACCCTTTTTCTCTGACCGTGAGCTGACATACAGCTCCCTCTGTTGGTATCCAGCTGTCATTTAATTTGCAGAAGAACATTTCCTGACATGGAGTTACCACCTTCCTTTCATTCTGATGTCCTACACAGCTTTCCTTCGGTACACGTCTGCTCCATTTTTCACGTTTAGTTCAGTATTGTTGACAGTGGCCTGACCTGCAGGCAGCTTGGGCTCCACTTACCATTTGTTCGGTACTGCTCAGCTATTAACTTGCACATTATAATAACTGTCAAAGACAATGAAAGTAAGGAAGGATATCACACATTTAGACGGGAAAAGGAAGCAAAGGATACATGCTAATTAGACTATAACAATCGGACATGTACGTTTGCAGAACTGCCTCAAAACGAGCGATTTAAAAGCACATTGCAACAACTGTGAGTGTACATAAAGGGCTGGTTTGGTTACAGACTGTTTTTGAAAAGCGTGTAGCTTTTAGTGACGTGGATGTTTGCAGAGACGTAGCCTCATAGCAGGAGAAATGTAGACGAGAGGAATGTGTAGTCAACCTTTTATTCTTTAGCTTATTATAGTAAAATATCCGCTAGAACAAATCCCTCATTAATCTCACGCTTATTAAAGGACCTTTGCCATTTTTGACAAGCATTTTTGATTGTCTCCAAATCACAATCATGCTTTTTGTTGTTGTTGGTTGATACTTGACCTTTACATTGAAGATGATGGTGCAATGAAGTTTTAGGAGAACAGGGTGTTGGTTACTCATGAGGTATGAAAGCGAGTTTGGAAGAGAAAAACTAATTGTTCTCAATTGGTTAGATTTACATGAGACGTTTGTATACATAATGGTTGTTCTTAACTTCTCGACAACATACAAGTGGATATGATGCATTTCCCCCCCCAAACATTGATTGTGATTTTGAGCATCCTCGTGGGTCAAGACTTTAGAGCCACAGATTTGTTACGATTGTGTTTAACCTCTGTGTTTCCGTCCTCATTTTGTACTTGTGTAACTTAAAGGGCTTAGAAATGTAAAAGCCTTAACTCAAGGATGTCATTTAGTTTCATTATAATCCCTTTTTTGAAACCCTTTGTCTGTGAATTCCACCATTTTCTTTTTTCATCATGCTAAAACGGTTCAGTCTCTTGTTAATTTATCTCACGATGTATATATACTGTAGTGTATTAGTCTGATTTGTATCATTAATGTCATTTCATTCATACCCAAAAGTGTCATTTCAAAAAATCTGACCCATGCCAACTCTTGTGTCAAACACCTTTTCGTTTTGTTTTCATTCTTACTCTGTTTGAAAAGCTGTGAATTGGAGCTTGTAAATCAAAGCCGCGGTACTGCAGCAGCCCTCTGCTGAATTCACTCTGAGAAGAAGGAGGCCATGTTGAACACAACAGGCTGTTGATGTAGAAATGGAAGTTTGTTACACTAATGGATTTTCTCCTAATACAGGTAGTAGTTACATCATTGATTATTAAAATGTCAGCAAGTTAAAAGTGTGTTTTTATTTAAACTCAGTGTTCAAAATCATCATATAACGGAGTTGAATGTCCTAATCTTAGTGCATATACAAAATGAAGTTGCTTAGGTTTAAAGTACATGATAACAATTATGTATCCCTAATAGATAGGAAATTCATTTTCTTAATTCGTCCAATACTGAGAATGTAGTGATAGTATGGTATTTTATAGCTCCTGGGTACATTTTTACCTGGTTCGATTTAGAAGGAGAGTTTGAAAGACCAGAGGGAAGAGCAGACCAAAATTGCAATTAAGTTGCATTATGGGAATTTTAATGATAAAGTGTTTTAGGAGGGTAGACCCATACTTAAGTATAAAAGTCATGATGTATCAGATCCTGCAGCTTCAATTCTACTGTTTTTTGTTAAAATGTCTCTCCTGTAGGTCTCCAAATCTAATGAAAGTGCAATACAACGCACTCAGGTACCCCTTTAAGACACAAAAAGGTCATATCAGTTGACAAATGTTCCCTTTTTAAATCAGAACATTTTATTTGAGACTCTTTGTACGTCTCTGGAAATCGACATACAATCTATTACTGATATTACAATAACCAACACTCCTGTATGTTTGGCATTTCGCAGCAGATGATCCATTTAAAACATGAGTGAGCAAACAGATTTAATTTATCATTAAAAAGCATATTTAAAAAAACAAAGTTACTCCAACTTGAACTGCTTTAACACGAGGTGAATGTCTTCCAGAAGAAGTTGCGGCAGCCTACTTTGCGCTCTCTGTGGCTGAGGGGGAGTTGTCTCCTCATCACCTCCTCCCGGACCCCCCCCTCCTCCTGCAGCTCGGGGGGCATCTCGTCTCCTCTCGCCGCCAGCAGCTCGGAAACAAACTTCAGCAAGAGCAAGTGAGTCAGACCCTGCAGGAGGACACAAAACACGCACTTGTAGTTACATCATTCCTTATTAAAATGTCAGCAAGTTAAAGTCAAACACTGCGATAAAAGGGCCATTCACCAGTTCGATATTTTTATTCACTGTCAAATAACAACGAAAGGGTATTGTTCATCTTTATTTGATTGTATTTCTAATTCACGTGCGATGTCTCGACGAAAACATTTCCCAAATTGGGATCAACAAACTGTATCTTATCTTAATATTTTAACAAACTGCTATTCTTGCTGATACTGCTTATCGATTACAGTCCTTTTTTTGCTTTTATTTTTTTGTGAGTAGAAGCAAAACAATTGAACAAGAACATTTACAATTGTTTATTTGCACTTGCATTGTAAGTTTAAAAAAAAAAAAGATTGAGTAATAACTTTAAGCATTGTTTTCAAACTAACTATTACTATTGTAGGCTATTTTGTTCTGATTATGGTCATTTAAAGTATAAAGGCACTTGAATATGAGAGTTGATCCCTTTAATAACTGTTAAATATCCAACTCACGATTTTAACATGACACCAACAAATGTATTAGTTCCAAAAATACTAAAATGAGATAATACCTATTAATTTAAAAATAATAAGAAAAAAGGATATAAGAAAAAAAAATGCATAAATATATTAAAGAACAACAGAGTTAATTAAAATGGTCGTCGATAAGTTATATTTCATCCATGCTTCCAATATAGTGAAATATCCAACCCCTGATCCCAAATCCCAGCCCTTTGAGTCACCCACCTCGTCCGTTGCGAGCTGTGCTCTTAGTGCCAGCATGTCTCTGCGTGGAGCACCTCCGACCTGCACCAGGAGCCCGGAGGAAAACAAGGCCACAAGAAGTATCTGCACCTGAGAGCGAAGCATCTCCATCTCAAACAGCAAAACTCCAATAACCCCTGATTCTCTTTTCAACACTGGTTCTGTGCAAAAGTCCCAAATATAAGCAATCGGGAAAACAGGGTGGGATGTTGGAAGAGCTGAATGTTATCACTGTTTGAGTAGGACGTGTTGGGCTGATAAATAGGCTTCTTCATCTTCAAATCTTCCTCATCCTCCAGGAAACAAAAGGATGTGATTGGTGGAGAAGGAGGAGGTGGAGGTTGTGTGTCACCGGATGGGAGAAGGTCATCACTCACCACGACGAACGCTCCTGTAACACCTCCAACAAAAGCTCCAAAAACTTTGTATTAGTAATTTACTAACTTTGTGAAATGTCAAATATCAATTTGAATGGTAACATATGACTTTACTTCTGTCAGTCATGATTATTCGTAAGTGTCCTGGTGTCATCGTGAGGGCTGCATGCTGTGCCCTGTTGTTAATGACACAATGTGACTCAAATGTTAATGAGGCGGATTAGCGGTCCACCCTTTGTGCCGTCACTTTGGCAAATAAACATGGTAATCATCTAAATGTCAGACTGCAAAACAAAAGGGTTGATGTTAGTGTTTGGTCAAGACACGAAAAAGTATGTATGTGGGTTATTGCACATTTAAAATCACATAATTTGGTATGTTACTTCTATTAACACTAAGGCACATGGAAAAACACCACTGTTTAAATTGTAAAAAAGCATTTTCTATTTTATGTTATTTTATCTTTTCACTACACGTCCTTACTTTAACTTCTTCTGTTTTTACTTTTTTTTTTTCATTCCAAAATGGAGAAATTGTCACAAAACCAAAGTTCCCCCAAGTATTCTGCTTCTTCTTATCCAGATATATGGATATTTAAAGTCCTTTTTGCTGTTGTTAATCGTTTGTATAGTCATTACTCTGCATGTTGTATTTTTCTTTTCTGCTAACGAGCTATGTCTATAACTGATATACTTCATCAGCTGCACTTCATTTAAAACGTGACCATTAAGTAATAAAATAAATACAAACATGCCAAGTCAACCCAAAGCACTAACTACTGGTTGAACAGCATAATGAGTAATAAGTATCATTTTCACGTCTCGTTCCTTAAATAGGCTTTGACCTTTTCTCCACCGCAGGACTCTCACTGATAAGTCTGATTACTCAGTCTTTAATCGTGACATTACTTGACTTTAAGAAACATTTTCCCGGTAGTGGGGATGTGATGACTGCAGGCGTCCAGCTGTGCTGCTCCGGACAAAGTAGATGTGTCCAACAGTGTGATGATCACATGAATCACACGCCCTCCGCCTCTACACCTGCTGCTACATGATCAAAAATAGTGTCTTTCTTCCAGCAATTTGTCTTCACCTATGATAACAAGCAGTATAATTCCTCATGTTGTTTCCTCATAACCCTATAGGATTCATTCTTCATTATTTCATCTTTATAACAAGCTGGTGAGTCACACATTTCAACAAGAACTATTCCCATCGGAAGAGAGCAATTCAATACTTACAATTCACGTTATAGTTTCATGTTCAATTGTGAGTGCCTGATGAATCAGAGGACAAGAGGAGACTCTTTTTTAGCCTTTTACTATTCTCAGTTTCTCAAATGATTACTAATAAAAATGACACTTGATGCATTTTATTCAAACCTTTTTGCTTAACATAAAGTGAGCAACTAGTGAGTCATGTTTGTGAAGAAAGCTGTGTTTATAATTTCTAGCTGTCAAGATGTTTGTGAAATGTAAAAACATAGCCTACATGTATTTGGTATGATGGATCAAATGAGGATTATTAGAATTGCACACCAATTTAGAAGACAATATTTTTTGCATGGGAATACATGAGTTTGCATGAATGATTTTGGAAATGTGTTGATTATCAGTGAAGAAGCAACCATCACTGATGCTGGAGAGTTTGGTATTTTGTATGTGCACTGTTGACACTGGGATTAGCAAGCACTAATGTGGTTCAAGAAATGTTGAAAAAATATCCTTTAATTTAGTAAACATTGCAACGCAGTGTAGAAACACATGTAGTTGAGAAACCAAATGAAGATACTCATTTACAGTTAAAGCAGCCTATCTTAAATGTGTGAATAAAAAGCATGTATTTGAACCAAACTCCAAACGAACCAAAACATACAAATGAGCTTTTAAAATGAAATCATTATAATTATTTAGAAAACGGTAACATTTAGGGACTTTACATTATAGATTAGCCCAGCATAATCTAAAAATAAGCATTATTTTTGTGTAACTGTGGACTATCCCCACCCGCACCAATCACCGGACCTGGGGGGACAGAGCCTTCTCCGTCCCTGCCCCCTCCCTCTGGAACTCACTCCCACAACCCATCAGAGACTGCACCGACCTCACCACCTTCAAAAAACTCACAAAAACTCACCTCTTCAATCTGGCTTTTCATGTGTGATTGTTTTTGTATTATTTGACTTTAACTTTAACTATATATTTATTTGTTGTTCCTTTCTTCTCTTTTCTTTTTTCTTCACTATATCTGTAAAGCGTCTTTGAGCACCTGTAAAAGCGCTAACAAATTAAATCTATTATTATTATTATTATTATTAGTTGTTCAGTGTATTACTGACGCTCTCTGTCCACTGGGTATCGCTGTTAGACCTAATTTTAACTCAAAGCATTCCTTCATTCAACACATAAGTATCTGTAGAAGTTGTTGATACTTCTCTTAATACATGCATGTGTGTATGTACAAGGAATACACAATGCATCGGCAAGTGGTGGCTTTATTTATGACCCCAGCATGTACGTTGCATGCTGACTAACAACTGTTAGACGTCACCGGGTGGCGCACTAGCTACAGTGGCCTGCAAAGGACAAACTTAATCATATGCGAATGATCTATTCTACAGTATCCCTGGGAGTTTTTGCTCGTTAGATTTGCAGTTAATTAAGAGCTGTGTTTATGAAGACGAAGCCCGTGAAACCCGGAGGTGTGTGTGTGTGTGCTCGTTAGCTCCTCCTCGTTAGCTAGAGTCAGTCAAAACGGTGACATCTTCGAGATGTAAACACAGCTGACAGCTTTCAAATCGAGACATATAGCTTTGAATGAACTCAGTTTACATTTGCTTTTTCAAAATGAAAGTATCTTTCCATATTTTGTGTGGGTAAGTTAACAAGTTGAAGATACACGCATGGTTTAAGTGTAAACCCGTAGCTAAAACGAATATGTATTTGTTTCAGTGTGGTGTTGCTGTTCACTTCATCTTTCTGTGTCACCAGTCCAGTGCCGACAGGTAAGACCATTTTAGTGACTATGTGTGGTACATCTAAAATACCTGTCAAAGACATAGAAAATATAAATAACATAGTTTGTATCACTCTCAGAGATCTCCTGTCTGAAATGATACTGGATAATGAGGTTTACAATACAGTGTGCTTTTATTTTATTGCCTTCATTAAGATTACATTGTCTAATAAGAGCAAACATTGCTTTATAATTTGGCAATTTCACACATAATGCCAAATAGCAGTCAAAGGTATGTTCAAAGCAATGCATTGTCTACCACGAGTATGCATTTCATAACAAAAGTGTTTCCACGCTATGTAAAACTAAATAATATGAATTCATTTTAATATATTTGTATTTAAAGGCCCTCAAAAAGTCTATACAATAAGGTGACATTTTTGCCCCTATTGCATGCATTTTTTGTCTACTAATGAATGCTTAGAGTTAGACTATGCAGAATCATACAACTCGAATGAATATTCATATTAAATTAAACCCTTAAAAAATAATTTTGTTTTGGAATTACTTGGAAACTGATGCCAGTGTTAATGTTTTCAGGAACATTTAAGACCAAATGTCTTGAACGTCACTTTTGGTTTTCTGTCAAGTCCAGCTTCCTTGGCTCGAGGGTCCACTTTGACCTTGAAGGTAAGTTTCTTTATTTTCCTCAAGAATGTTTTTCCTAAATTGATGGTCAAAAATGTAATTTAGATAACAACAAAGTATATGTTGATGACCTTTAACTCTGGACCACCAGACCGGTATGGATTCCACTCTTTGTCTGACCATGAGGCCACACTGTGTGGTTACACTGTCCTGGCCAATGATGTTGGAGACTTGGTGTTTCGTGCCTCCTTCCTGGCCTGTCATGTCCACAGCGAGGTAGGTTATTTTTACTTTGTTAAGCTTTGATATATATCGCAGGGTTGCATTCCTCACATCACTGTATCTTTCTGCAGGGAGGCACAGACTATCACCTGCGTCTTTGGTTTGTGAACCTGCAGGAGGATGGGAAGGTTGCAGCGTATCCCTTCCAGCTCCACTGCTCTCTTCGGGGGCAGTGGAGCACCAGAGAGATCGTCTGTGAGGAGAACTACATGGAGGTGAATTAATAACCGGCCGATTTATGTAATCACATCCACAGATTTAGGTTTAATTCTGAATGTAAGCCTTTTAAAAACACGTGCTAGGGCTTATAGAAGATAAACAATTGTTGTGACCATATATCAACTCTCCTCTTTTCCTATCTAGGTGTCCATCCAGCAGCCTTTCCTGCCTATTACATCAAAAAATGAGAAGGTAATTAAATATGGTAAATCCTTGCACTCACAAGTTGATCAACAAGTAGGCGAAAAGTATGACACGCTTTTCATGAATGGCAGCCCCCTCCTTTGCATATAGAACTGTACGATGAAAACAACATGTCAAAGTTTGGGTGAATAAAATGAGGTTAAATTCTATGTAAATTAATAAAATAATTAATTCTATATGAGTCCTTCATAAGTAAATAGCAGAGACGTGTTTTTTTTTCATGATTCTGTATTTGTTGTAACAATCATTGACTAGAAATCCTACGATATATAGCACCAAAACGTTTCTTCATATTTGCAGGAAGAATATGTTTGAAATGTTATATTCCAATTTTGCTTCACAAATGACTTCATTAAGCATCTCTTTGTCTCTGAGCAGGGAGTTGATGAGGCAGACATGGCTGTGATGTTCCACTGTGATTCCCAGCCACCAGAGGAAGCGAGGTTCTTCTCCCTGAAAGAGGCTGCTGCTCTGGGCTACCACATCTCACTGCGAGGCGCCCACCTCAGCCTCCG